AACTTCCACGGCCCTCGCTACGTATGTAACTGATCCGGATATAATAGCGAACTTCTCCCAGGCCATTCTCCTCCATGATTCGCCTCCTATCGAACACCTCAAATGGCTAGAGGCTATGCACATATTTATATCCTCCACCAACAACACGTGCATAAATTTTAAAGAGGAGATGCTGTTATCGATGGCCTGGCAGGAATTAATTCACAACACGCTCTAATTCGCCCATCAAACTATGACGGGTAACCAATCGCGCATGCGCGACTTGGATTACGTGAATCCATTCGAACCTACAACTTAAATTTCAAGCTTTAAACGACATGAACGATCGAATTTCTACTTATAACGGACATCGAACGCCTTTAGAAGCTGATTAGAACCTGAAGCAGAACCCAGAAGGGGTTCGAAAACGTTTGTTTTCCGATCTTTTGCATGATCACACCATAATTGGTTCAGGTGTGTTGATTTTTTGTAGTAGTTCCGGTGTGATAGATAGTGAATTTATTTATAATCAAGATGGGTTGTTAGTAATAATAATAATAATAATAAGTGAAGAGCCTAAACAGTTAGGAGTTGAAAGTTGAAATTTGGTACACACTTAGGGTACATCATGAGAATGTACACTAAGAAGGTATTTTTTGAAATTCCCCCATGGGAGAGAGGGAGAGGGTTAAGGATTATCCTGAAGTTGGATTCTACTGTACTATTTTAAATGCAGTTTTTTGCATTTTTGAAGGAAATTGAACAATTTTAGACCCATCTAAAAATTCTCTAATTAGTCTGAAAAGACAATGAACTTAATTCTTGCACATGGTGAAAACAAATAAGATTGGCTATAATCTAATAATATTAATCTCTGCTATCAGTACCTTTTGCCTGAGCAACACTGGGCTGATCTGCTAGTTCACTATATTTGAGCTACAGCTAGAATTTTAGCATGCTGTCTTAATGAGCAAAACAATGTAAGGAAAAATAGACAATCTAATAAGCTATCTAACAAGTTTCAAAATCTGCTTTTTAACTGGTGTGGGCTGACACACGACTCTTCCAACAATAAAGAATACATAAAGAAGTTAATACTTATTAACAACAAACATTCTTGTAACAATCTGAGTTTGGACATTCCAGAATACAGGTATACCTCGCCTTACGTCGGTAATTGGTTCCAGGAAAGCGACGTAAGTCGAATTTACTTGTCTCCGAATCTACTCGTCACTAGGCTAAACCATAAATTATCATTCCCGGTTCTGTATTTTATTTATTAATGCATTTTTAATAATGTATGGTTAATAAGGATGTATTTTAAGCTTACAAACAAATAAATTTTAGTTTATAGAAAAAAGTAATCTAAATTTACGAATGCATGTACTGTAAATACAGTACATACTTGTAAATGTACATATTTTAATATGATTTTATGTGCTTTAAACGCTTTTCTAGTGATATTACGACTTCAATATTTGTGGCGGACAGACGTAAAGTCGAATAAAATGACTTAAACTTGATTTTTATTTTTCCATATACTTTTTTGACAAACGATGTATAATCGGGAACGACGTAACTCGAAACGACGTAAGTCGAGGTATACCTGTACTTAATGTTCCTTTACAGATTATTTCACAGAACCTTCACAAGTTGTGGCACTGTCTGTCTTGTGGTTGAGGTGATGGATGACTACTTTGCATAGTATCGCTTGTGTAATGGCTACAGTACTGCATGGCATGTATACATGTTTTTATCATTTGTGTATATTTAGTTTATATTATAATCATTAAATATTTCATCTGGAATACACTGTAAGTTAAATTTTATTTGAAGTTCATTCTTAGTTCTATGTTTATTCATAACAATAATTAACAATGAAACCAATAAATTCTGTAAATATTACTTTATCTATTCTAGAAAATGAAGAGAATATCAGAAATAAAATTCACACCTTAAAATATGCTCCAGCAACAAATTTATCAAACAAAAATGTTTTCAACCTGATTATAGGTCTTCATCAGTTGAACATTCAAACATATTCTACAGCCCAATTTCAAAAAAATAAATTTTTACGTATATGAATCAACTTACCTAAGAATGCAACATATTACAAGTAAATGTTGAGGAACATAAGCTGTATTTAACATTAATGGGGAACCACTTCTCATGCACGTGAGAAAAGCTCTCATTCTTCTCTTTTTGTCATTTACAGATGAACCAAACCATAAACGCTGTACAGTAGGAACAGCCCATCCTAAAGGTACGGCACTCACATAATCAGGATGTTGATATTGTTTGACTTTATCCCAGATCCATTCCTTTATCAATATCTCTGGAATTTTTTCTGAAACAGAATGTACAGTATTTTGGTACTATGATACAATTTAATAAATCAAATTTTATTACAATTTTACATCATTTGCTGTAAAATATTACTCTTTTCTATATTATTATGTATAAACAAACTAAATTTAATTTAATATCATTAATACAAAGGATTATAGTTCATATGTCCACACAAATTGGAGGATGTCTGCTTTATTACACAATATGTTATACAATAAGTATGTCAACCATGCCGCACATATACAAAATTCTATAAGGGAAATATTGTGGAAGAATAAATTATTCCAATATTCAATAACCAATTCACACGAATCGTTGACAGAGAGTTTTCCACTAGGACATGTAAATAACAATCCTTTTGGTCTCACAATGACATTAAAACAAAAAAGCCACATGTAAGTACAGTACATTTCTTGGACCTGAACCTCACATTGAGGAACAAACAGGTGTACTCAAAGTGTATCATAAAACAGATTATCACTCATTCTTTACCTGTTCAATTTAAAGTATTTTTTTACATCACTCATCAGATATGTACAGTGAGAATATATGATGCATATGTCAGTAACACATTTAGACAACTGTTACATTGGATGTATAAATATGACTCTGCCTTTTTTTTAATAGACAGTGTTAGTAGTACTGTTTGTATGCAACTGAATCTGGCAATGCTTTTATTTAAAAGGTTTGACAGCATTCTTCAAAAATAAATCTGAGACATCTGTTTAAAGCATCCTTTCTCAAAGTGGGAGATAACGCCCCTTGTGGGCACTGGAGGATTTCAGAGGACAGTAGAAGTCTCAGTGATTAAATATGAGTTTTATTTCTTCTCATTGAAACATTCTTTGATCTCAGAAATAGGATACGGGTCACACCCTATCTATCCTACCCATATAATAATGCATGTTTAAGCATTATATTTGCAATAACTGTTTTTAAGATGTGCAACAGAAGGTAATGTAAAAAGGTAAGTTAAAAAAATGGAGGCACTAGATTTTCTTTTTTAATCTCAAAGTGGGCAGTGGTCGAAATAAGTTTCAAAACCTGTGGTTTAAATTGTAAACAACAATTATTTTATTTGATTAAAAATGTTGAGTTTTGTGCCAGGAAAACAGCATTTGTGGGAAGTTTACTTCATTATTTTATTTCAAAGAAAAGTGCAGCAGAAATGTATTGTTTGCTTTTCGAAATTTATGGTGAACATGCTCCACTCAATTCAACATTCAAAGAGTGGCTTTGACAGTTTAAAAATAATGATTTTGATATACATGACAAAAAGCATGAAAAACAACCAAAAAATTTCAAGATGAAGAATTGGAAGCATTACTGGATAAATATCCTTGCCAAATACAGTTGGAATTGGCTGCTGCTTTAAATGTTACCCAACCGTGAATTTCCCAATGTGTACATGCAATGGGAATGGTTTAAAAGCAAAGAAACTGGGTCCCATATGAACTGAATGTAAGAGACATTGAACATCATAAAACCATACACTATCTGGCCAAAAGTATCCGGACACCCAGTGGTATGGACTCGGAGAGTCTTGAGGCATATATTAATATGATGTTTTTCCTCTTTTCGCATCAATGACAGCCTGCACACGTCTGGGAAGACTTTCCACTAGTTTTTGATAGGTAGCCATAGGAATTGACTTTCAGGTGTCCATCACAGCTGAAGTGAGTGCTGGCAGTGAGGATGGTCGATGTGGCTGGCTACGTAATCTGCATCCTAATTCGTACCAAAGGTGTTCTATGGGATTTGGATCGGGGATCTGGGAAGGCCAGTCCAGTTTTTGAACAACCATTTCATCAAACCATGCCGGCGCAAGTCTTGATGTGTGAATGGAGCAGTTATCCTGCTGGAAGAGAAATGGGCCTTCCCCAAAATATTGCCATAGAGTCAAGAGAGCAGCATTGTCCAGAATGTCCACATACATCTTAGAGTTCATGTTTCCAACCACAAGAACTATGGGACTCAGGCCAAACCATGATAAACACCCCCACAACACGATGCTGCCACCACCAAACTTTACAGTTGATATAATGCAGTCATATAAGAAGCACTCGCTGGGAATCCACCAAACCCAGATGCCTCCATTGGACTGCCAGATTGTAAAGTGAGATTCATCACTCCAAAGAACACTTTTCCACATGTCCACAGTCCAATGATGGTGAGCTTTGCGCCATTGCAATCGACGCTTCACATTCTGGAGAGTGATGTTCGGCTTGTGAGTGGCTGCACAACCATGGAATCCCAGGTTTCTTAACTCTTGATGAACAGTCCTGGTGCTAACACTAATGCCTGATGATCTTTGGAACTCCTGAGTGATTTCAACCAACGAGGGTGTGTGATTTTATTTCACTACCCTTTTCAGAGTTCTACGGCTGCATTCACTAATTTTGTTCGGCCTGCAACGTCATTTTTTCCACTTTCACTGCCTTGACGTTTTCACTTCACAATTACATCACCCACAGTGGATTTTGGTTTCTGTAGAATGTTTGAAATTTCACGAAATGATTTCCCACAAATGTGGCATCCGACTATAATGACATGATCAAAGTCTCTAAGCTCCTTTGACTTACTCATTGTCTCACAAACGCATAAATATGATGTGAAAAACCACAAAGAACACTTTTATACCTTTCGGTTACACATTAGAGACCATCACCTACCAGATCCACTTCTTTAGGAGGGTGTCCGGATACTTTTGGACAGATAGTGTATGTGAATTATTGCTCCAAAGACAAAAAAAAAAAAAGGTTTTTTGTACTGAATTGTTACTGGAGATAAAAAATGGATTTACTTTGACAATCCTAAACAACCAAAGGCTTGGGTGCATCCAGGTGAACCAGGCCCATCAATGCCAAAACAGAATATTCATGGAAGTAAGGTTATGTTGTATATCTGATGGGATCAAAAGTGTGTAGTATACTATGAACTGTTGCAACCGAGTCAGATAATCAATGCTGAACATTACAAACAAGTTAATCAAATTGAATGAAATACTGAAGCAAAAACGTCCAGAATATGCCAGAAGACACAACAAGGTTATTTTCCAATATGACAATGCTCACCCACATGTTGCAAGATCAGTCAAAGGAAACTCTAGAAGCACTTTGCTGGGTTATATTGCACCACCAGCCATATTCTCCAGATGTTGCTCTTACAGATTTCAATCCATGCAGAGCAACCTTTCAGGAAAGCAGTTCAGATCTTATGAGGATATCCAAAATTGGGTTGATAACTGGCCTGCTTCAAAACAATCAGACTCCTTCATTCATGGAATCCATTTTTTGCCTGACAGATGGGCAAATATTGTAACTTCTGATGGAAAATACAGGTTGTCCATAAAGTCTCTTTACAACTTAAAAAATTTATTGCAAAGGCAATTGATAAGATATCTTAATTGGACTTGTTCTATTGTAGTCATCGGTTTTCAGTTTTTAATCACATTGCATTATGTGCAATCAAATTTTTGGTCTATTTTTCTTCCAAGAGAGATCAATTAATGTAGATGTCTACCTTGACTTTTTGACTGAATATGTGGCCCCACAACTGCAGGACCTTCAACCAACCATCATGTTCCAGCAGGATGGTACCCCACCACATTAGGGACTGCTGTTTGTAATTTTCTTAATCAGACATTTCCAGATCATTAAACTGGAAGAGATGGACCTATTCTGTGGCCACCACACTCACCAGATATCACAACTCTGGATTTCTTTCTAGGCATTATGTTAATAAAGATATCATGTATTGAACAAAGATATGAGACTTTACTGAAGTAAAGCAAAAAATAACAGAAGCAATATCAAGCATTGATGAGGCTATGCTACAGCGAACATGACAAGAAGTCAAATACCATCTTGATGTGCTTCGCACGACTAATGGTGCCCATATAGAGGTGTATTAAATGAAGTAGAAAATCTTTGTAAACTATTGAGTACAATAGAACAAGTCTGATTAACCTGTTTTGTGATATTCTCAAGATATTTCAAGCTGAAACATAAAGACCCAGACTGGTGGACATGAGATATCTCATTTCTGCATCAAAACATTTTTGACACTAGATATCACTAGTCATCATAATTTTTATATTAAAACTAACTTCTGAAATATAATTTTTTTTTGTTTTTACATTTTTAATGTCTATTTTGTTTGTGCAAAATAAAAAAATAATTTTGGACAATACAATAGCCATGATTATTTTTTTCTAAAATGTGTAATTTTTGTTAGGCTTAACCTATTCGATGATGAAATTTTTATTTGTTGCCTGTGATGCCATGTTGAATTTTTGTCGATGTTAAGCCTAAAAAAAATTTTTTTTAAATAATAATCGTGTTTACTGTATTGTTAAAAATTATTTTTTTATGTTGCACAAACAAAATAAATATATTGAATAATATAGAAACAAACAAAATTATATTTTAAAAGTTCGTTTTAATATAAAAATTGTGACGCTTAGCAACATCTAGTATCAAAAACATTCCGATGTAAACACGAAAATATTTGGGATTGCCCACACAGGTCAATGAGGTCAACACGAATACTTTTGAGAACAACATCGACAGGTTAACATAGGAGAGGTTAACATCGACAAAAATTCAACATAAAGCAACATCGGAAAAAAATTTCAACATGGGATAGGTTAAGATATCTTATCAATTGCCTTTGCAATAAAAAACCTATTAACTTTTAAAAATTTGACTAAATGCACAAAATAATATTTAATCATTTTAAATATAATTAATTTTATACTTTAAATGCACAAAATAATGCTTTACAAAGAAAAAATTCAAACTAAATATTTTATAAGTTTTATAAATTCATCTCCAAAGCTGGCCTCTGGCAGCTAGCAGCAGAAAGATCTGTGGATAAAACAAGTTTTACTTCTTGTATCAAATGGAATATACAGTTTACCATATTTTTAGTCAAATTTTTAAAAGTTAATAGGTTTATTATTGATTTTATAATTTTTCTGAACTAAGTCAATAGATGGTAAATGATGGAAAAACTATTCTTATTCCTTTGGTGATTTCAGGGATGGGAAATAATTTTGATTGTGACCATTACTTCACAATGCAAAGAAAAATAAGATTCACAAATATGTATTAGATCTGGTTAAATAAACCAATTACAAAGCTTGTATCAAATGTAATGATACCAATCTTTAACACAAAACTCTAATTCTACAGAGAGAACACAAATATATTAAAATATTTAGTTAAAAACATTAGTTTGCAATGAAATTTCTACCATCATCAATGCATTTTTGTCATCATTTTGGAATTCAAAAATACCTTTACTGTACTACTCCATTCTGGTAGTATGCAAACATTAAGGCCCTGTACACACTAGGCGTTTTTCAACGCGCGTTAAACGCGCGCTTTTAAACGTGCGTTTTAAAGAACCAAGAGTTCTATGTAGCTGTACACACTCAAATGCCAAGCGCGCGTTAAACGCGCATTTATAGATTTTTGTTAAAACGCTCGTTTTGCGGGTACTTTACGGGCGCTTCGAGATATATGTGCTGCCTTATAGCGACGATGGAGGAGCACACAAAATCAATTACTTTCTCGTCCATTTCCAAACTGAGCCAGTGCTAAATGCCGAACTAACGCTCGTCGAACGCCGAGCTAACGCGCGTTAGCTCGGTGTTAAACGCGCGATGAAAAACGCCTAGTGTGTACAGGGCCTAAATCATGTGTTGGAGTAATTTATGGGATTTATTTTATTTACAAGATCATTATCCAGTTTCTTCTGAGTTTTACTTTATATTTTGTGCAACAGATTCCTGATCTACATTACACTGTTTATTAAAACAAACAAAAAATTATTTTTTATAACTTTTTTTAAAGTCTAAATGCAGTGAACTAAAACATTTCATTTTTCAGAAAATTCTTACATTCATATATAAGAAATTAATATATGTCAGAAATTAAATACACCAAATTCTTTTATTTTCTATTAACATCTCCAGAAATCAACTATTTAATTACCTGTGAAACCATCCTTTTCTTTCTGTTTTGCCATAAATTGATGATGATGTAAATTAAATAAAATAGCATAAACCATCTGTCGAAGTGACCTATACAATAATACTGGTGATGGAAGATCTCGAGGAATATCCTCTTCAAATATCACAGGAATTTTTATTTCTCCCTAAATAAAAAAATAATATGTAAAAAAACTAAACCTTTACTGCCATTCTTAATACAAGAAAATTTCAAAATCTTTATAACTAATTTTTCCAGAAAAAAACAAAATATTACTTTCATTGATGATAGTAATTCTGATAAATGAAATGGTAATAAAAAATACACCGTGTCCAACAAAAACATATAAATAAAATATATTATATAAATACTTTCAAATTACAAAATATAAAAGATATAAAATAAGCACGCATATATAAAATAAACATCCACATGCACACTCGACGAACCTTTATCTCCGGTAATGTTTAAATTTCGGAAACGAACATTTTTGGCATCACCTGAGGTCTGCTTCAGGTTAAATGAAAACTGGATTCCAAACTAAGAACGACTTTTTGGAACAACTTCAATCGTTGAGTTTTAAAATAAATTGGAACATATGTGCGTGCTATGGAGCGTTGGCAACTTCTTGCTATTTGCATATGTAGCACTAGGCATATGATAGCACATTGCTATCTTTAGAGTTTATACATCTCCCCGTCAGGCCAGCCCTGTATATTTCAAGGGCCTCGAGGGTCCTGATGTGGTCAGTGTGAAAGGCTCTTTTTAACAGCTTGGTGTTAAATAGGTCTGCCTGAACCTCTGGGTTGGTGGTGTAGGTAGACACAGACCTATTTAATACCAGGCTGTTAAAAAGAGCCTTTCACACTGACCACATCAGGACCCTCAAGGCTTGAAATATACAGGGCTGGCCTGACAGGGAGATGTATAAACTCTAAAGACAGCAATGTGCTATCATATGCCTAGTGCTACATATGCAAAGAGCAAGAAGTTGCCAATGCTCCATAGCACGCACATATGTTCCAATTTATTTTAAAACTCGACGTTCGAAGTTGCACAATGATTGAAGTTGTTCCAAAAAGTCGTTCTTAGTTTGGAATCCAGTTTTCATTTAACCTGAAGCAGAGTTCAGGTGATGCCGAAAACATTTGTTCCCGAAACTCAAACATTACCGGAGATAAAGGTTCGTCGAGTGTGCAGGTGGATGTTTATTAATACCAGTAATCAGGTTAGAAGATATTGTAAAGATATATATAAAAATAGGATAAAATATAGAATACATTTTGTAAAAATTATTTTTATTACTACTTTTATAGTGCAAATTCAACATAAAATATTTATATATTTTAGTTATATTAGGAAAAGTCTGATTGAAACAGAAGATTTCCAAAATATCGCTCCATCTATCTAAGTANACAAACAGAACTGTCAGTTACATTAACAGTGGCATTAACATTACTCAGACCATGAACAGAGGACGCCCTCAAGGGTCTAACTCTGGGTCGCTTTTTTTATATACAAATATATGAAGACATACATTTACAAAATAATATATATGAAAGTTAAGCAACTACATAAACAATATTTAAAAACAAAAGTACATGCACTTTTATAACATATGCAGATATGAAATATAGAGATTGAGTGCACTTGAATAGATGTAGGACACTGTCATGCACACAAACCCTTACTTTATCTTTGAAATTAACGCAAATCTTTTTTCCAGCTTTGAAAATCTGATAGGCTTCAAGAGCCCTAATATGGTCAGGATGTTGGGAGCTTCTGATGAGGAAAGCTTCTTGTAGGTTGGCTAACACATCCTCCTTGAGACATACATGGCCAAAATGGTGGTATACTTTCTTATTAACTATTTTATGTGTATGAACAACCCACAAAAAAACCTTTTTTTTTTACGAGTGTTATGTCACTAGTAAATTCCACAAGTACTTTCGACCTCCACTGAGGTCTGCTTCAGGTGGTGACTGGCCGTGTTTCGACCCGACCGTCGTAACGATGTTGCCAACGATGTAAATATATAAACGTGCGCGTAGGGTTTCACCCCTCCGACCGCCGTTGCTCGAACTCCTCGAATAAATACCTCCACGCCTGTGCAAGTGTTTCCCCATCCCTGTAGTTGATGCAGTTGCCCCCCATGATAGCTNTTTATTACTACTTTTATAGTGCAAATTCAACATAAAATATTTATATATTTTAGTTATATTAGGAAAAGTCTGATTGAAACAGAAGATTTCCAAAATATCGCTCCATCTATCTAAGTAATGACAATGTTAATTTTATACAGAAATGATAAAATATACAGAAAAGATCAGTGCTAGTTAAGAAAAACGATATTTCAAAAAGTATTGCATGATCAAATGAAATGTAAAAACACACCAGTATACCAAACCAGTTAAACAGACACCAAAAATATAACAAACATTCTTGTCTGTATCAATTGAACATCCTCAGGTTGCATAAGCCTATTAAAGAACAAAATGCCAAATTGAATATACAACAAAAATTAAATTTTTAAATGGCCAAGGTTTGGGCATGTGTCCTATGCAGATAATGTATAGCATAAAGAAAACTAAATAAATGAACATCACAGAATTAATAAAACAAGAATATTTTGATTAATAAATCTGAGAGCATGTAAGAGTGATTTACTATAGTTTGAACCATGTTTGCCATGCCATTGACAGATCATATGATTCCTTGAATTTGATACCAATTTTCATGGTCCTATAAATTTCCAGAAATTCCGAGTATTTTAAACGTGCCAGATCTGCTGTGCGGTGTAACAGTCTGGTATCATTGTAAATGAGAAGAACATTGTCATAACTTGCATATATAACCAAGCAGCATTATATAGTTCTTTCTAGTAATATACAGTAGAGCGTCGATTTTACGAATCAATTGGGGACTGGGGTTGTCCGGATAACTGATATTTAGGATAACTGATTTACGTACGAAAAAATAGTTTAACGTATCCAATGTCAAAATTTTTCTCCATTGCGTGTTGCTTCGCGTTGAATTTTCGTTGATGTTAAGCCTAACAAAGACTATTGTATCGTTAAAAATTATTTTTTTATTTTGTACAAACAAAATAAATATATTGAAAAATATAAAAACAATAAAAAATTATACTTCAGAAGTTAATTTAGTATCAAAAACGTAAATTATTTGAGTAGCCCAAGACATAGCCAAAGATTAAGCGCCACAGCACTGGCGAAAATTTAAATTTGCCGACTGGAATTCTTTCGGATGATTGACTTTCAGATAATCAACACACTACTGTATTTATGTCTTTGATGAGATTGGTCAAGAACTTATTGGTTGTTCTAATGTTTATTAACTAATGATATTATACTGTAAAACAAAATGATTAATATTTTCTTTCTTTCTCGACAGTTAAAGATATTTCACATGATTCCATTTTAAGCTGTTTATTAACGAAACTATGTCTCATCTATAAAATCATGTTGCTGTCTCTAAGATGTCCAGCCATTGACATGCAATGGCTGGACATCTTAGAGGTATGAAGGAGTATGTGTCAGGAGTCGCAATTTGGCACAGAGTATTTGTGTCCAAATCATGCATACAGAAAAAAAACCCAGACTTGTAGGTAGTCAGGGGACTGAGAACAGGGTCAAAATAAAATACAAAATGGCAGAACTGTTTCTACAAACAGGTGCTAGTGCGAGATTTGCACATGCATTACTCGCAAACTGAAACAACAAACAAATGCAAATGCAATGTAAAATTTCACATTTTAAAAATATTCACAAAACATTTTGTTTTTTAAAAATTTGATTTCATATTTAAAATTCAAGATGTATTCTTTATAAAAACTTTAATTTTAAAATTCAGTAGAAAGAATATTTCATAGTATCTTCGATTTTGTATTTCAATTTTGCCTGAGTTTTAATTTAAATGCACATATAGTGAGACATAGTCTCATCCCAAAAATGGCTTTGCTGTTTTACTTGTTTTTTATTTCTTATATAGATCAAGTTTTAATGATGGTGTCCTCTAAAAAGTGCAACTAACAACAACCAATTAACTGATGTGAAAACGTAATCTCTTACCATTCGATTTTATATTCGAATGTTAACTGCCAGCCTGTTCTGAATTAAAAAGAAGCCTGAAGAAGAGCCCAGAAGGGGTTACGAAAATGTTTGTCACTCAAATGTTAATCATTTTCACGCCAGTTAATTGGTTGTTGTGAGTCGCACTTTTTATATTCATTCTGGTGTATTGTGAAGTTAGGTGTCCTCTAAAATATTTATATATGCTGATGACATTAAAATTTGCAATATAGTAACAAACTTCCCTGCAAAATTTTAAAATATTTGACAAAAAGCATAGCAGTTATTAAGCTTCAAACAGAGTGAACAAAATTGTGCCACACATACACATCCATACGTACAAAAATTCCCCAAATTTCTTTGCATTTCTCAACATTTCAAAGTTCTGAGTCAAAAAAATGTAAAAATCTTGGGGTTCATTTTTTGACCAATTACCATACTTTCCCTCTGTTATATATAACAGCCAGGAAAGTAAAAACTTAAGTAATGACTTTGTAGTATGCTGTTAAATAAACAGAAACAACTTTGGCTTCCTACTGATAAATAGTTACTACCCAGGTTACAGAGACATACAAGAGATTCCTAAACAGAATTGAAAGAATTATGGACATACTTCCAAATAAAAATATTATCATTGCAGGAGATGTCAAGTCTCACTCCCCAGTATGTAAAGGAGAAGCCTTTGACCCTAGAAGAGACCCTAGAGGAAAGCAAATCGTTTGATCTCCAGAATTCTAGAGATCAAACAATTTGCTTTTACACAATGATCTAACACTGCCACCAATCATCTTCAGCAGAGGTAAAAGTTGAATTGATGTAACAGTCAGTTCATCCAGCATTTTCAATAATGTTATTAACTGGAAGATATTGCATGATGACACTTTAAGTGACCATTCGTATATTGCTTTTGACATAGATTTCTACAACCAGTCTTCCCAAAGAACTTAAGTATAAAACATCACAGGCAAACTGGGAGATCTGGAACCAATACAGCTCTGAACACACTGACACAACCCCATCACTCACAAGAGAGGAGGCCCAACAAAAAATTTAAAAAATTGTGGAGAACATTAAAACT